ATCTTTATTAAGACTAATTTTTTCTATGCAAAACCATCACTTTTTTAAACAGTTTATTAATTAACGTTAATTTACCAGAGTGTTAAAATATATTTGGTAAAATATAACTTGTTGGTTAAAAAATATACCCAAATTAACCAAAGCTGTGGTTAATTTACCAAAAAGTAATACCAAAGTTAAACTAAACCGAAAAATGTCTAAAAAAATAACTAGTCTTAACCATTTTCAAAGGTTAAAATTAAAAGTAAATATAACGTTATGTAACTTCTATAATAACCTACTTTTTAACTTTACCTACCTATAGGTAAATTTAGGTTATTTCCAGAGTTTAAATTTACTATAAATAAAGCAAATATTTAACTAGTTAGTAATATTACCCATACAAAAAGTTTTATACAAAAGTTTACTTTAAGATTATAGAAACCGGTTGATAAATTTAAAGGGATTTTTTAGTTCATTATAAATGTTAATGGTTAAATACAACAATTGGTTAAAAAACAAGTTTAAAAAAACCCTTATTTTACTTAGATTTTGGTTAATTTACTTAGAATGCTAGTTATTTATTCAGTTGTGCTACTTGGGATGATACCATAGACATAGACATGTATGATACGAATTGCAACTAAATTAAATTTAGGTTACATTGAATTTTTCTAAATCATTTGCTTATATCGTCTAGGTTATGCTTACATAGAAGAAGCAAAAAGTGGCATAATATTCAAATTATGTAAAAGCAGGACCGGATTAAGCTACATGGAGGCCCGGGGCTATTAAATATTTTCTTGAGAGTAAGAATTTTTTTAGCCTCGACAATAAAACCCTTAACCCTTGAAACTTGCTACAATTAACCCAATACCAAAAATGTCGTGCTTTAAAATTTACCACCTACATTTTTTACAATTTTATTTTTCTCGCCTTAAGCTGCGCAAAATCTTCTATACTAACTTTAAAGTCTATATTATTTACCAAATCTGTTTCAAAATTATAGCATTAGCTATCTTTGACCGTTTTCTTTTTATTAAAGAAATTTGTATACATAAAACTAGGTAACAAAAAATGTTATGTTGATTTTTGTCACTTTACATATTTTTTTTACATAGGTATTTCAAATATTCAAAGTTTAAAACATTTTTAAATATTTTTTAATAAATTTGTTACCTAACCGTTTTTGTTTTGTTTGTTAAACAAGATATGAGAAGTTCCCCTACTTTAACCCCACGGAAATAAAACTGCCTCATTCCGAAATGATTTGTATATGTTTGGAAGTATGTAGGTTTTCCCTAGAATTATTATAATTAATTTAATTAAAATTTCGTTTGTGCGTTGTATACATATATGCACGTTAATTAATTTTTCAAAAGAAAAATGCATTCAAAGAAATGCAGGAGTAATTACAAAAACTAGTTTCATAAAGTAAATAATGCCCACGGTATAAAGCGAAAAGTTGAGCGAAACTTTATTACATCACAGATAAAAGTAGTTTGGAAGTTTTTAGTAGAAAGTTTCGCAGAAATATTTAACAAAACAAGAATTTGGTGGGATATATGTAACTACAAAAAAGCGATGAACATCCATCTTCATTATTTTTTGTAAAAAACATTTTTCTTAATTTATTTAATTTTCTAATACCCGAGATATAATTCGGTTAATCCTTCTGTTTTTAATTTTAAAATGAAAAACCCAGGAAAATGTTTTAAAGATTTGACAGTATGAAACATGGTATGCATTTTTTAGGATTAATTAGGATTAAAGCGCATTATAAATCATTGAGATTTTGCTCGGAATAAATCATCTATTCAAAAATGTACGTTGTATTTTCCATTGCGAAGGATTAAAGATAACATAGCAAAGAGAAAAACCGCTATTTAACATTCCGGCTGAAAATTGTTGCTAATTATCTCGAAAAAGAGTTGGTTTTACTAAAAGGAAAAAGGAGCTTAAGAAAATTGAAATGCGCAACTCATTTATTATCCACTTGTTAACTAATTGAATACGCTTAACTATTCAGACATACATACACAACCACTTAACACAAAAGATAATCCAGCCAAATCAACCCTTTTTAGGGAAAACTTAAACAAAACAAACAAATGACGCAATGTTTATTAATTAATTGTCTTATAGGTTTATCATATACCTATTATAAATCATTTCTTAAATAAGTTTAACAATCTTAATATGCCTCATGTTTAATAAACGCCATTTAGTTACGAATTTAAGGCACAAGCGAGCTTGCGAGCGAGTGTTTAATTATATACTATACTTGTTTTCCGACAAATACATATTATTATCTAAAAATAATTAAATATTTGTATAGAGAGACATCTATACAAAATTCGCGAAACAATAGGAATCTATATTATAATATAGCCGGTATACAAAAAGTTATATACAAAAGTGCTCTTTTAGTTCCACCCTTACTCCCTGAATGGCTTGAGCGGGTTAGGGGTAGGAACGGACCGCGGGCTTAAAGTCCCATCCGAAGGCAAATTTGTATGTATAAATAAAAATTTATCCTTTAAAAATGGACTAACAACCGTTTAAATCCGATATAGAAGCAGTTTTTCACTAATGTTGGTAATTATTAACTATAATGTGTTACATTAACCGAAATTAAACCAAAACCAAAGAGTTATAAATTACCGATAGGTAAAATAAAGTAGTTAAATTAAAATAAAATAACCAAATGGTTTAAATACACTTGCAGGTTAATTAATTTTGGTTATATAACCAATATAAAAATATTCTAAAATCGCCATCGTACATTCTAACAAAATCTTTAAGTTATATCTAAAGATATACATAACCATATTTAGTAAATTATAATTATGTAGAGTTAAATTAATTAAAGTTTAAGTTGACTTAAGAGTTAAAAAGTAGTTAAAAAAAGGGTAAAATAAACCAAAAACTACCAAATATTACCTTCTTTTTAACCAAAAGGTACATTTTCCAAGAAGTTAAATTTAATTAACAACTTTAATTTTACCATAATTGATTGTATGATTGTACAGTGGCGGACACAGAATTTTGAACGTTATAATTTGGTTGTCCATGTATAAATTTGTAAATAGCAAAGAAACAATATTGCCCATTTTTGCTTTCGCTGTCAAAACGACAAGACTAGTGATAACCGGAAGTAAGGTTAGTTGGCCATAAAGGAAGTTAAGATTTTAATATTAACTGGACGAAAGCCGTTCAAAATTCCGTGTCGGCCACTGTATGACAGTTCACAGCTAACTTAAAGCTAACTTCAGCTCGTGACTAAAAACCTGTTGCTGGGTTCAGCCTGTGACTAAAGTACCATAAAGCCATAGTCAATGTGTATTTAAAAGATCACTTAGAGTAATGGAAACATGTACGATAATGGACATTTTTAACATTTTTAAATATATTTGACATTCTTAAATGTGTTTGACTATCTTAATTTTTGAACTATAAAACTGATTTTATGATTAGAATCGCGTTAGAAACGCTTTTTATGATAAGAAATAGTAAATTATGTATCAAGTTTGATAAACGCCATTTTATACACGAATTTAATTTAGGCACGAGCAAGCTTGCGAGCGAGTGCTTAAGTTAATAAGTTATAGAAAAGTTTATAAACGAGGTGCATACTATACTTTTTCTACAAATACTTATTATTATCTTAAAATGATTTAAATCAAAATTTGTATAGAAACAATGTGTGTCACCGTCAAATGTCAAATTTTTATATTTTATAAACACAATTATAAAGGTTATAAATCGAAATGTATTTCAGTTGACAGTTTTTCACAGTGAAAGTAAAGAAAATGTTTTATGAGCACTTTACAGTGGAGTCCGTGTCCGAATTTAAGTTATAGTTTACTGCCGGCGAAATTAAAAGGTCAGTACAATGTTCATATAAACTTTTCAAATATTGGCGTTGAGAAACTATTTAATACTTTGGTATTTTTGTATTGAAATAATAAAATAATTTTCACATTTAGTATTATTTTACAAGAAAGGCAATTTATTTAAACGATTGTATGACATTTGACAACTGTCAACTTACTTAAAACTAACTTCAGCCCGTGACTAAAAACCTGTTGCTAACTTCAGCCCGTGACTAAAGCGCCATAAAGCCACAACTTGTCAATGTGTATTTAAAAGGTCACTTAGTGTCATGGAAACATGTACGATAAAGGGCGTTTTAAAGGTCGTAGAAAAACATAACAATTAAATTGTAAAAAAAATCCTTATAATTACTTATATAAATATATATGAATAATTATTTTTCACAAAAAAGGTATTATAACTTAATTTTGCAATATAACTTAAATTATTATGAAAAATAATTATATTTTGTAAAATAGTTGATATCATCTGAAAAAAATGCATTTTTGAAATATAAAACACATTTTATTAATAGATTTTAGGAAAAGAAAACACGTTTAGGTCTAAAAATTAAATTAAAGAGTTATGGTACAAAAATTCTTAAAAATACTTGCATATAGGTATTATGCTATAAAATAATTATTTTTCACAAAAAAACGCCTTTTAGGCTTTAAAACTTAGTTTTGTAATAAAACTTAACTATATTTTGTAAAATAGTCGATATTTGTCTTGACATTTAAATACGCACTTAAAAATTCTAAAATATAAATTGATTGAAGAAGGTAATTTTAAGAAAGTTTGACCAATTTTAAAATAAACTTACTCGTATACCTTATTTTTATTATAAATTGTATTGTCATTTAAAATATGATTTGATAATGTTAAATAGGAATACCTACCATAACGTTAATTAAGCTTCAACTTGTATAAATATATTTGATGCTTGCATGGGTATTTTTTTAATTGAAGGTTGGTTAAATAAAAGTTAATTACAAGCCTATTAAAATGATATTTATAAATTGGAAAAAACGCAAAATTTTTAAAATAAACTAAAAATCGTTATAACTTCGTTATTCGTGAAAATTTTAAATATAAGCAAGTTTCACATTTTTTACTTTTACTATGTATTGAAAATTATGCTTTAGGATTTCCTCAGCATTCTTTCCAAGGTTTCGAGAGGCAGTGTCGAGGAAAAGTTGCAGTGGGTGTTTGGCCTATACGATCTAAACGGAGATGGGCTAATTTCCAAAACAGAAATGGTCGATGTTGTTACCAGCATCTACGAAATGCTTGGCAGAGCAACGCAACCAGCTGTTGAAGACACTTCGGCCAAAGACCACGTCGAAAAAATATTCCACGTAAGTCAGTTTTTGAAACGGTCAAAATTTACCCAAATGCCGGAATAAAAATTAATCATTTGGCCAATTTTGCCCGATTCATAAAATCCAGATATTTTATGAGTTGTTTTTAGTTGATTGATAAAAATAAAGATGGATTTGTAACTATAGAAGAGTTGGTTCAGTGGTGTTCCAGAGATGAGAATGTGTTGAAGTCGCTGGAAACACTGGATACAGTATTGTGATTTGTTTGCGTATTGACCTTAATTTTTACGAATTTTGGTGTCATATTTATAAAATTTTCGACATTTGTCTAAAAAAGTGAGATATTATAGCAATATATGCAATATGTGTATTTTCGCAACTGTTTGATTTGTTTTCTGTGCCAAATGTATATCTATTATATTATTAAGGGTCCATTCAGTTTTTTACTTTAAATAATAGACTGTATGTTGTTCCTATAGCGTACAACCAACACAGGGTGGCGCAAATGGTTATGCAAGTGAATTATTATAATTTGTGGTTCAAAATATTTCCCATTTGTGCATTGTATTTGGAACCATATGGGTGAATATATTGAGATGTCCCCCAAGTGAAAATGATTATTTTTTATTTTTGTTTGTTTCACTGTTAGTCTAGAAAGGGGTTTGGGAAGCCACCAGGTTTAGTAATAACATAACATAAGTGGTTCTGCACTAATGCAAGAATTATAAGAAATCATACATTTTGAATATTAGAGCTTCACGGAGGTTAGGATTTCGTATGTTTTTTTTTAAACATCCCTTTGTATATTTGAAATAAGTTATTGTATCTTTTAACACCCTAATATTTTTAAAAATACAATTGTACATACATAAAATATTTATAAAAAAAATATACTTACTGAGATATTACATTTCACGGTGGATAGGTTTTTCAATAGCAAATTAATGAACTTAAACTTTTGAATTATAAAACAGCAACACTCTCATCTGCATATTAACTCTAACTGACCTTTAGGAATCATATGCATCTATAATGTCGTAAACAGAGGTTTTTGCTTATTTAAAATGATTAAAGCGCCATCCGTTGCATACAATTTAAAGCAAAAACAGATTCACAGAGGATAGAATCAATTTACGTAACACCTAAATAAATGGTTATAAAAAATATTTCTTTTAATTTTTAATAATATTTTATATTTGATTCGATTGCTTTGGATGTGTTTAATTTACTTACTAACTAACTGATATTTTTAGTATGCTTTTACTACCTCAGATATTTGAAAACATACAGGTTAACCTAGAAAGAGTAACAGTCACGGAGGATAGGTTTTAGACTTTTTAAACATTGTAAAAAATAATTAATTGCGGTTAAAAAACTGGAACCTGAGCTGTAATATCTAATTATAAAAGATCAAAACACAATAAAAGTGTAGGTCAAACTTATTTAGTTTTATTAAATATCACGGGGTAACACCATCGGGGGACATTTCGTGAGATTCACCCATATATATATGTTAATAATCCACTTACGTAATAAATGATTCAAAGCATAACGTTAATTTTGGGCAAAGGTTTCAAGAATTACTTGACTAATACATAACTGAAGACTAACTGACAGCGTTGCCAACCGTACTATAATTATAGTATTTGTACTAAAATTATGAGCGTGTGTACTATGTACTACTTGCAAAGTTATTATAGTATTGTCATTTTGTACTATAATTTTGACCAAATATATATGTAAAACTGTATACTAGCATTTAAGAAATATTTCGTTTTATTTGTTGTTTTTTTTGCTTTGAAATGTATTATACATTTTTTAATACTATTTTGGTTAATGATGGTACTATATCATAATTACATGAGGTTGGCAACGTTGCTAACTAAGAAATAATCGTTTATCTTAGTTTTAATACTCTAAATAATAATCTATCGATTTCATTAAAAGTTGCTTTAGTGCTTTGACGTTTATTTCATACAAATTTAATCAAGAATGATAAACTGAGGGCTGTTGCGGTACAGACAGCGGCGTAGGGAAAATTCCCTTCTCTATATTTAAACCGTTGAGTGAATCAACGATTTAAACATTAAATTAAGATAAGCGATTAAAATAACGACATAAATATATTTTGTTGTTAAATGTGACTTACTTATCGAAATTAATTAATGTATACATATAAAAATAAAAATAAGCTAATCTGGCTAAATTTTTGGGGCCATAAATAAATTAGAATTAAAAAACAATTATTTTGCTAGCTGTTTCATAAGTTTTCGAGAATCGGCTATACTACGCTACGAAGTTCCTATTTCAGAAACGTGTGTTGCCATTCACGTTAAGTGCAGCATAGTCGATTTAACTGTAAAGTTTTACTTAGTTTTGAAATATGGCTTTTTGTTAAAAAAAATTCGTTAAAATGTATATAGTTTATTTGTTTTTAATCTACTACTATAATATCTATTGACTTGACGAGAAAAATAGTTAATATATTTTTTTATTGACCTCCAAACAATAAAAAAATATCATTAACCATTTTTACATATTTCCCTTTTCTCGAACTATCGTAGAAAATAGCCTTATAAATATATATTTAAAAAATAGTACAACTTTTAGATGCTAGAATTCCTTTAATATAAACTTGTTACTCGCTCCAAGAAGACTAAATAAAGGAGGAGTAACTCTCGACCACAAGGCCTGATATTGGTAAAAAATTCTATTCTATTAGATGGCAAAGGACCAATATTAAAAACTTACCTGTAGAGACCTAAGAAATATACATTGGTAAATGTAAAAAAGATTGTTTGTTTGCTCCAAATAGATTTATAACCTAGCAGGTTACTCCCCCTGTATTTAGTCTTCATATATTTTCTTGTATATACGTAATTAGAGAATTTAAATTTCCCAATATAAATATTTATTAAACGTTGAACATTTTTTGCATGAATAATACTTTGCTTTTAAGACCAATTGGTTCATATTGTGGACTTCAGAAACTTTATTGTGATAGTACGTTACACTCATTGTTAGAGTTAATAAGAACAATAATTAAGTAACTAAAAGTGTTTTAGGTCCTCACAATTAAAATTAAAACTTTATTCTATCTAAATCCAGTCTTATTTATTTGTTTTCATTCCCTATTCAGTAAATTAATGACTAATCGTTTTTAATACTCTTATCGTTAAATCCGATTAGATAAACCATGCGAGTATTAGTTATCTTTTTTATTAGTTTCTCATCAGTGATATGAAAACATGGTTAAACACATTATTATATTTTTAACCTTAATATTTTACATCATAAAAGCTGAACTGGTGGAAATACCTTGTCCTGAACGATGCAATTGCGAAATGGTGGAAAACTTAAAAAAGGCTTCATGCACACACAAAAACATATACAGCATAGAAATAAACATGCACCCAGACGTTGATATATTCGACATTTCGTCAAACTATATTAACAGTCTTGGACCATCTACATTTCAGGTAATGTACTGTACTGTATCTCATATATCTAATGTAGAACAATAACCAGTAAGAAGATCTCAATTTTTCATTAAAACTTGTACTCCAGTGGCCACGTTGAAAAAAATATTTTTTTGAAAAATGAACGTCTAACTGATTATTTAAAAACATTTATAGGTAGTATACCTAGTATACAAACATAAAAAAAATGTAAAAAAAAGTTAATTACCTTATCCTCGCTCTTACGGTCGAGACGTGATAGTTTCTCCGCTCTGAACTATAAACAAGTATACATAGTCAGTGCATTAAAAACGAAATATACCGTACGTTCTTATACTCATACAAACATAAAAAAAATGTTTACTGTTGTAGAATAATCACCTAACAAACCTAAAACTTTTGAACATATCAAATAATGCATTGGCGAATAATATTCATATGGACGCTTTTAATGGTTTGGTGAAATTGAAAACACTGGACCTATCCAACAATAGAATAGGAGTTATTATGAAAATTTGGCTCAAAGATATGTCGGAACTAAAAGAATTATATTTGTCGGGTAACTATTTGAACAGGATGGGAAACGAGCCACCATTCGAGTCGAAATCTTTGAAGGTATAGTTTTAAATATATGAATAAATAAATAATGTATTCTTAGGTTTTAGATTTAAATAATTGTGGGATTGATGCAATCGAACCCGATTTATTTGATGGTGTTCCGAATTTGGAATATTTGGATTTGTCCCGGAATCACCTTATGAAAATGCCGAACCAAATATTGTTTAATTTGAAGAAATTAACGTTTTTCAGCCTCGATGACACTCGAATAGAGTGCAATAAAATGTTTATGTCTACAATTGACTATTTAAAAAATAGGGATGTGATATTCAAGACTCCTTGTAAGAAAATTGATCAACTTAAAACAGGTCAAAAATTTCAAAAAATGATAATGGATCCAAGTATTCAAAAAAATTCTTGGATATTCGATGAAAACAGCGATGTTAAGATTATTGAAGTTTGCAATAACTCTATAACCCCCAGAAACGAAACCTACCTTTTGAGAGTCGTAAAAATATCTCCTCCCATAGTGTTGGCCTCAATTTTGGCCTACGGAATTTTGACAGGTTTAACATTGGGCTGTATCTGCGCAAACTGCTCTTGTTCATGTAAAAAAAGAAGTAAGGATTGGGGGGAGGAAGTGGAGCTGGAGTCCTCCCATTCCCACAGCAGGACCATAAAAAGGAGGAGTTTTTTGATGCCTTCAAAGAGGTACAGGAGTAATGGTAACATTTTAAATTATGAAACCAACATTGACAAGGAAAGTTTATTGGAGTCAGCTTGGGATGCAGGCATATCGACACCACAACAAATAAGGAGAGTTATGGGTGAAGAGAGAAAAGATTATGCATAAAAAACTCAATTTTTTTAAAATATATATTTTTGTTTATAATATAAATATGGAATGAATAAAATATATGAATATATTATTGCAACGTTTTCTTAGAAATACTGTAAAATTGATTGTAAAATGGCATAAAATTAATTCTATACTAAATTATAGTCTGGCCAATTTAAGAGGAAAACGTTTAAGGCCACTTAAAAGAATTAATTGTATTTAGAGAAATATATTGCGCAAGTTCAACCATTACATATATTAAAACCACTATTTTCATTTAACTTCAACACATTGCATTTTTTAATACCCTGTGGATTAATTAATTTTTACAATCTTTCTTTATGGTTTTCTTGGATTATTTGCCACTAAAATTTTGTTCAAAATATGGAAAAAATGTTTATCCAAAATCGGCAGTAAAGTAAAAGAAATCGGCAGTAAAGTAGAATTTACTGCAGATTTAATACGAGTATTGTATGCAACCCATTATACATTTTAAGATGTGTCTACTGCTCCTCAGCAGCAACTAAATAATATTTAATTAAAAGCACCGTTGCGGAGGTCGATTGGACCCTTTCATAAAATGTTGTTTTTAATAAAAATAATAAGTTAATTTTATTAATTAAATTAAAAATCGCCGCGGCGGGCAAATATATAATAACCGTCGCAAAAAACAGTATACTTAGACACTTCCTACATTTAAATGACATTTGATTTGATCATCAATATTAATTATTAGTAAAATTAAACGCGATTTTGGATAAAATTTAATATGCACCTCGGCATTAAAGTCATTTTTTATCACTCACGACTTTACTGCCTTGATACATAAATAGCTATTATAATCACATTTATGTAAAAAATAGCTTGTTAATTTTGTAATTTATTTTTTACAATTGTCAACATAACCAATAAAATCTTAAAAATCTAAAACTCCCTAGATCAGAAGGTAAAAATGGCTGCCGATTTAATCGTCTTTTAATACAAGGCGCAGTAGAATGCGCAAGGGTACAAACGCAATATAGTTCTCTAAATACCTAAATTTTAATTTTTTTAACGCCCCCCTCTTAAATAGGACAAACTATGTTAGTTAAAAAAAGTTATTTTTATACTATATTCATGTAGTCATGTTCGGGTTCCGATTGAAAAATTTTTACAAGCTCCGAAAAAGTCGGCCGCCTATTCATATCGAAATCCCAACACTGTAGCATAACGTCATATATATTTTTTGGGCACGCGTTAGGTTGTTCCAGTCTCTGCCCTGAATCGATCAGTTTAATTGCCTTGAATTAATTTTTTGTTAGCTTACTACTATTTATACACATATGTTTACACTTACTTCGGCTCCTTTCATGTCACCCCATGGATGAGCCCCGAAGGAGAACATCTCCCAAATTGTCACACCAAAACTCCAAACGTCGCTTTTATGGGAGAATTGGGCATAATTATAAGACTCTGGCGCGTACCATTTTAGAGGCCATTTGCCGCCAGTCGACGCTCTAACAAAACAAACTGTTTAGTACCTACTGCGCATAAGGGTTAATGTGGGACTGCGCATTTATAGGACAAAGGATTATGTTTAGCAGCCGGCTGGTTTCCCAATAAACAATTTGTACTACTTATGGTAACGATAAATTATATAAAGGTTATATAATAGTTGTCAAGTTATATAAGAGGTTTTATAAAATCGCCATTCAGTTTACTAGTTTTATATCGGTCTTATAAGGTTACTGTAAAGTTACAGTGTAAACCCTAGGTATATAATTAAGTTATATATGTGTTTCTACACACATTTTATATAACCTTTAGTAACCGTTACAAGTGGGTTTATAATAGAGTTTTATAAAGTTTGCGGTTATCTGATTTATAAAACTATTGTGTCTTTAATTTTTTTAAATAAAAATTGTGAGTTATTAATTATTTATGTGCTTAATAAAACCAAAATGTTTAGTAATTGAAACAAGAACTAAGCTTTCGACGCAATGCTTTTTCATAATTTTAGTTAAAAATTGGTTGAAAAGAAAACATTTACATAAGTAATAAAATATTATTAACATAAATATTTTAAAACTGGATTAAATCAAATGTTTTGTGAAATAAATTGATTGCATTGTGTTAAAACCATTAATACTGCAGGTAAAAATGGCGAACCTGACAACACAAACCTGAGCGGTTAGATGCCTATTAAAAGTTTTATAACATCACTTGTAGTAACGACAGTTACTACAATGTATATAAGAGTTTCAAAATTATATAATAACACTTTAAGTTACATAGTTCTACAAAACTGAACTAGTACCTTAGGTTATATAAAATTACCATGAGCAATATAAGAATGCTCAAGGTTGATATGTATTGAGTAAAAAATTTAACATTTAAATTATATACTATTTATATTTTCGCCATACTTGGCTTCTTAAAATATTCACGTGGTTTAAAAAAGTTAATGAATAAGATGACAATAAGTAAGATAGCATACCTATGAAGAAATATATATTTTAAATGTGCCTAGGAAAGAGAGAAATATTAAAAGAAGGAAAAAAAGCCGGTAGCAGTTTTTTAGGAAGTTGTATTGTGGTTTCCATAATATTCCTGTTATCTCTGGTTATAAAACTTTGGTTTTATAGTGTTACTAAAATAGGTACCGATAACCTTTATAAACTCCCCAAATAAGCTCTTTAAGGGTGATGTAAATATTTCTGTAACCAAATTAAGAAATTTAGGTTTTATAATTTGGATGATATAACTTTTATGGAAACCTCTATAAAAACTAAAATGTTTATTGGGATGGACTGTACTTTAGGATTATGTTAGAAAGCGCTTAATTATTATGTAGGAATGCGCATCACTGCTATAGAACTCTGCGCATCAATATTATGTCATTACTGAGCATTGGGAATGTAAGGATTTACCTATAAAAATCTTCCATGCCGACCATTCTAGAGAGTCCAAAATCGCTAATTTTAGCTTGTTCCGGCGTGGCTAGTAGAATATTTCTTGCAGCTAAATCTCTGTGCACAAACCGCTGCTGCTCCAAATAATTCATGCCGATTGCAATTTGTGCCGCCCACATTTTGAACTCGTGATTCGGCCTTATTTTTTCCTTGTTCGCATCCATGTATTGTAGTATGGAACCAAGAGCCAAGTACTCTTGCACCATCTGTAGAGGGGGGCCTTTGCAAATGCCAATTAGACGCACTATGCATTCATGGTCCAGTTTTTGCATCACCTGGACTTCCACCAAAAACGTTTTGATGTTGTTTTGGTTGACTTGGTCTTCTCGTAATGTTTTAATGGCGACACTTGTTGCTTCCCCTTTTAGGTTTACGTAAGTACCTTTGTACACAGATCCAAATTCTCCTTCTCCTATGATATTGCCTTAAAATAATACTTTCATTATTATTGATACTACCGCTGCATTTTTACTTGCTTGTTACCTCTTTTTAGTTTGTCCAGGCTTATGTAATCTTCATTTTCGTTGTTGTTGTTGTTAGTATGACTAATGTTATTGTTATTTCCAATGGCAAAATTGTTTTTGAAAGGTTTTTGACTAGGAAAACAATTGTTATTTAAATTAACAGCCTCTGGGTTTAACGGCTTTCCGGGATTTTTCGATTTTTTCGGCCTTGGCATTGTATCAAACTAAAAACGATAATAATCAAAAAATGATCTTGTTTCAATACTTTTAACATACTGGTACTGGGGGCTTTGGCTTTGGAGGTACAGGATTTACCAATTTGGTAGGCAAACCGTCTGATATAAAGCTATAATAATCAACTATATGCTCCAAGGAATCCAAAAAGGGTCCATCATCAATAAACAAAAATTTTCGCTAAAAAAAGCACCATTACAGACATTGCAAATAATCAATAAGTATATTGTTACCTTATTATTTTGACAACTCTGAATTATATAATTAAAGAAATTCCCATCACAAAGTAAGGTCAACACCTTACTAGCATTCCTATCACTATACCTAACTAAATACGTCCCTGTCTCATAGCAATGACTCCTTATCATATCCTCAGCCTCCTTTCTGCTTAAAGTACCATGATACCAATCTTTTTTTAGGGATTTTGGCAAACGTGGCTGGCAATTTTCTACGAAAAAAATATCTTTCAGTAAAAATCAACGCAGGCTGCGCAGTAAAAAACACTTACCCAACATTAATGCGCATTCCAAATGACCGTTTTCACGCGCTAGATCCGCCGGCGTTTTTTGCTGGCTATTTCTAGGTCTCACAGGGACATTTAAGCTCAATAATTCGTTGATAACGTCCTTATGTCCGCATATTGCTGCGTCGTGCAAGGGAACGCAGCTATTTTCTGTACTACGCGCTTGTATATTTGCATTTGCATTCACTAAAAGTCTTATTGTTGATGGGAAGTTGTTTTGGCAAGCATACTGAAAAAAAAAATATATGGGTGAATCTCACGAAATGTTACCCCGTGATATTTAATAAAACTAAATGAGTTTCACATACACTTTTATTGTGTTTTGATCTTTCATAATTAAGTAGATATTAGAGCTCAGGTTCCAGATTTTTAACCGCAATTAATTATTTTTTACAATGTTTTAAAAGTCTAAAACCTATCCTCCGTGACTGTTACTCTTTCTAGGTTAACCTATATGTTTTAAAATATTTGAGGTAGTAAAAGCATACTAAAAATATCAGTTCACTAAGTAAATTAAATACATTCAAAGTAATCGAATAAAATTCAAAATATTATAAAAAATTAAAATAAATAATTTTTATAACCATTTATGTAGGTGTTAAAAAATAGAGTCTATCCTCCGTGAATCTGTTTTTGCTTTAAATGTTATGCAACGGATGGCGCTTTAATCATTTTAAATAAGCAAAAACCTCTGTTTACGACATTATAGATGCATGTGATTCCTGAAGGTCAGTTAGAATTTATATGCAGATGAGAGTGTTGCTGTTTTATAATTCAAAAGTTTAAGTTTATTAATTTGCTATTTAAAAACCTATCTACCGTGAAGTGTAATATCTCAGTAAGTAGATTTTTTTTATAAATATTTTATGTACATATGTATGTACAATTGTATTTTAAAAAAATATTAAGGTGTCAAAAGATACAATAACTTATTTCAAATTTACAAAGGGATGTTTTAAAATCCTAACCTCCGTGAAGCTTTAATATTCAAAATGTATGATTTCTTAAAATTCTTGCATTAGTGCAGAAACACTTATGTTATGTTATTACTAAACCTGATGGCTTCCCAAACCCCATTCTAGACTAACAGTGAAACAAGCAAAAATAAAAAATATTCATTTTCACTTGGATGACATCTCAATATATTCCCCCATATTTAATAAAGTCCTCTGTTGAGGTAAAATGAAAATTTACTTACATGTAAAGGAGTTAGGCCTGAGGAATCCCTTAGGTTGACATTAGCTCCAAATTCAATTAATTTTCTTAAAATATCATTTAATCCTAATTTGCTGGCAATGTGTACGGCCGTTTGTCCATCTTTATCTCTTTGGTTCTGTTGTCTGCCTGCATTCAAACATTCTGTTACAATAGTGTAATTGCCTTGAGTTGTGGCTCTATGCAGAAGGTTGGTTTTTCCATGTCGTCTGGCATCAGCAGGAGGTGGCACTCCTATTATATAGTCAGTTAATACTAGTGAGTCTGGCAAATCGCTGTCTTTTGACGAGTAGTGTTCTATCAGGGATTCTAGGCCATGGTATTGGCAGTTTTCTGCTGCAAAATGACTTAAATATTATTAATGTTTACATGAAAAATTATTTACTTACCTATTGAGAAAAAGGCATCGTCGCCGTGTCTTCTAATTTGGAAGTGGTGGACTACATTTTTGTTGAACACAGAAAGGGCATAATCACCTGCTGAGCTATATCGTACTAAGAATAAACCATTTGTTCTTCCATCTAAGAAATAATATTGTTAACACACTTATAGTTACGACTATATTCTTTGTTTACAAACCATTTTTTAATAGAATTTCAGCTTCATCTCTGGTTAATTTTCCGTGATACCAGTTATAGTCATTGTTCATTGTTTTACTCTTATTCCGTATTTTCTATTGCTATACATACATTTAAATGCTTTTTCTTAAAATTATAAACTAAAAAATGATTTTTCTTTCTAATAATTTAAATAAATAAACAAAATAAAAAGTAAAATAAAATTAATAAAACGTCAAATTAAATGTAATGAAAAACAACTGACAGTTGTCTGTCAATTTTTCAGAACAAAAACATTTCTCATCAGTTGGCAACTTGTCTGTCAAAAAAGTGACATAACCTCAATGCGGCCTCAGACTATTTAAAATTTAAAAACAAATTCACAATGTATTAATAATAACAGTGCATTATTAGATAAGTAGATTAATTAAACGGCAACATGTTTCATAAAATGTGGAGATCATACTTTACGATATTACATAAAGACAGAAATTCCTCCAAATGCGTGAGAAATTGTATAAAACACATAAATACAAGCGTAGTTTGCTTAAGCAACGGCAAAAAGGAAGCCAAAGAGGTGGCACCCAAAGGATTATTCGAGAATTTACAGAATAAAAACCGCGACACTTATATAGAAACAATTAAAATATTTGTTAATCGTGATGCTATATACAGACGAGGGCATGTTGACTTTATTTACTCTGCGTTAAAAAATATGGAGGAATTTGGGGTGCAGAAAGACCTTAAGGTTTATAAGGCTCTAATTGATGTATTGCCCAAGGGAAAGTTCATACCGCAAAATATAATACAGGCTGAATTTATGCATTATCCCAAACAACAGCAGTGTATTATAGACTTGTTAGAGCAAATGGAAGACAATGGTAAGATTTAAAAGGTTTTTTTTTGTAATAATTAATATATAAATTGCATTTAATTATAGGTGTTATGCCAGACTATGAAATGGAAGACATGTTGTTAAATATCTTTGGAAAAAAGGGCTTCCCATTAAGAAAATTCTGGCGAATGATGTATTGGATGCCAAAATTCAAGAATTTATCACCCTGGCCTGTCCCCAACCCTCCCCCTGATGATATGTTGGATCTAGCCAAGTTGGCTATAGATAGAATTAGTTCCATTGATGCCCAATCAAAAACAACAATATATCATGTAATAGGTTTTTCATAAAAGCAAATAATATAAAAATTACAAATTATTAAACTTTTAGGCCAATGATATAACAGATTCTATTGATCATACATGGATTGTAAGTGCCCAGAGTACAAAGCAAAAAATGTTGCTTCAGGAATATAATGAAAAAGATCCTGTTTATGTTGAGGGTGGTTTTAAAGTATGGCTTAGGAGTAAATCTGTTAATTATTTTGTCTTAAGAGGCAAACCAAAGCCTATAAAAGAAGACAATGAGGACAATGACAGTAAGTTTTTTGTTAATTTGTAATAATTTAATTAATACGATTTTTTTAGACGTATCTGGTTTGGAGGTACCTTATTTTGGTCTCAAGCCCCCAGTTAAGAAAAGTTTAAGCCTGAACACTTCCCAGCATGAACAGGAAGACGGTATTATTTTTTCAGTATGCGCGACAGGCACTTCAAGTAAGGACTCATTATTATCCTGGATAAGACATCTTGAAAAAGATAACCCAAAACTAGCTACAATACCCATTGTATTTACCCTGAAACAAATGCCGGGAGATGTAACTGTCACAGAAGAAACAGACTCATAATTTATTTTTGTTATAGTTTTGTTAAAGTTGAAATAAATTAATAATTTTATAAATTACTCCTTTTTTTAACCTTTTAGTACATATGGCAACCTTGCTGTAGAGAATCCGGCAACGTTGCCTTTAATTGTCACTTTATTTAACCATAGAATTTTCTGCAACTGTGTAGTTTCTGTGTTAAAACAGCATTTAACTGCAAAAAAATGGCTCTCCCAGGACCTTTGAGAACGATTGGTAAAAAACAAATCGAAATCATGAGTCGCTGGTAAGTTTTTGTTATATAATAGAACTTGTAGGTTAGGTTACCACAGAATATTAATATTATATAATTGTGTTAGGATCGGCACAAGCATGGCTTTTGGGGCTACAGCTGGACTAGGAGTATGCTACGCAACCGACTGGAAACTGGTCTTGCAATACCTTCCTTATTACAATGGTAAATTTGTTACCGAAGAATAAAAAATTAGTTAAATATGTAGTTAATATTTAAATGATGCCATTGTCCATTTCTGTTTTGTTTATAGGTTAAATAAATGTGTATAAAGTATTCATTTTTTATTTTTAAAATAGATTAATAAATGTTTCACCATATAAACATTTCCTAACTTGCTATATGTAACAAAAATATTGTTTCGCCATCTATTTTATAACACTTGAACTAAATGCTTTGAAAAACAATTCATAGAGGGCGAAGTATCTCAAAATTTAAATATGTTTGAATTACTTTATTATTATTTTTATTTGCAAATTTATATTATTCTTAAAATTAATATTAAGAAATCTTTGATTAAAAATAAAAAGGGGTATTTTTATTATTGATAAGAGAATGGTGTATCATGTAAGAAGTTTTATATAAACCCCATTTAAGTTACGATTTTAATTATGCACGAGCGTAGTTGCGGAGCGAGTTTATAATAAACGAGTCTTTTTGGGTTGCCTTTTTAAAGTTATATAGTTCATTTAAGGCACGTTTTTAAGGGCCATTATAGATTACGGTTGTGTTTGCTGTAAAATCCCAATTTAAGGCGGGTTTATACATCAATTGATAATTATCATTTAGTAGACAATTTATTTCATAACTCAATTGTTACTTTAATGCATAATTATTAGATAAATTCATAACTTTAAAATTTGGTTTCGACTTTAAAAAATGTTGGTGTTACCTTACTTTTTGTATGAATCATTCATGATTTTACTTGCATTCATAATGAATGCAAGTAAAATCATAGAAAAAGGATATACAGGGTGACCCAGTGCTCTGTGATCGGTGCATATTTTTTTTGCTATTAAAGATATCGATATGAAATTTTTATAGAAAATATGATCCAACTAAAGCTATTTTTCAAAATTATTTTGAACAAAATTCCACTTCCGGTTTCACCGGAAGTGACATCGACAATGTTATTTCAAATGGAATACCCTGTATATTTTTTGATTTTTAAATTTCATATGTAATTCCTGATAAAATTTCTATAACATTTCCTATACCTAAACTCAATAGTTTTCGAGTTATTAATTTTTTTCGTAAAAATTTGACAGTTGCGCCTTAAACAAAAATAGCCTATAACTTCTTTGTTATTAGGTCTATTGGTATGCGGTTTGGATTTTTGGAATGTTGAAACATTGTTTTAAATATCCCGTATCAAACTTTTCCATATTTCTAACTAATTACTTGATAAAAATTAGGGTGAATTTGACAAACTTTAAACGATAATAACTTTCTTATTTTTAATGGAATGCTATGTATATTTTTGCAGAATTAAATTTCTTATTAAATTCCCTTTTGATTGATATAACCATTCCCTATACCTAAAGTTAATAATAACAAAGATATTTCACAATTTTGTAATAATTTAGGTATCAACAAACCTGAGAAATCGACAAGCGACTTATTTTGACGTATCCATGGATACCAATAACAAAAATTGTTTAAAATCTAATTGTTTCACTTTTTCTAGTATTTGTTTAGTTAAAATGGATTTTACGCGACAAGAAATGATAAATATGGTTTATTGTATTGGAGAAGCGGATCGAAATGTTCTGCTAGCTAGTAGAATTTATCATCAAAAATATCCAGATTCAAGATTGAGGGATAGATTTGAATTGACGGGTAATATTTCTTACAAGAAAGAAGAATTGATTGGACGGAGAATTAATGAAGACCATGAATTAGAAGTTCTTTTGACGATAGAGGAAAGTCCTTTTTTGAGTACTCGGGAGATCATAAGAGAAACTGGTCTATCGCAAAGCAGTGTGAATTTTAAACCATAGATAAATTTCACCCGTACCATATGGAACTTCATCAGAAACTTTATGATGACGATTTTCGGCATCGAGTAGATTTTTCAAATAGAATTCTTGAAATTGTGCATGCTAATGGCAACTTCTTAAACGGCATTTTATTTTCGGATGAATCTACTTTCGAGAGTAGTGGATCTGTTAATAGGCACAATTTGCACTATTATACGACTCATAACCATTATTGGCTGAGAACCATGGATCACCAAAATAGGTGGTCATTGAACGTTTGGGGAGGTACTATTGGAGGCCGTGACGTAGACTTGCATACAAGACCGAACATGTGGATTCAGCATGATGGTGCTCCTGTTCATTATAGCCGTATCGTACGGCAGTTTTTAAATCGGAGTTACGCTAACCGTTGGATAGGAAGAGGAGGAACTATTGCTTGGCCAGCTTGCTCCCCAGATCTGACACCCATTGATTTTTTCCTTTGGGGGTATGTAAAGGAAAAAGTTTACAGAGAACGACCAAGCACAGCTGAGGATATGATGCAGCGAATAACCGATGCATTTAATTCTGTTAACGAGGATATGCTAACCCGCGTGAAGCAACCTTTTCTACATAGACTTTGTGACATTTTGTGTGTTCAGCAGAATGGCCGTATATTTGAGCATTTATTATAATTATTAATTAAAGTATTTCGGTAAATTAAATTTTTGATTCTGATTTAATTGATTTTTGTGCTCCTATTATAAGAATAAATAATAATACAATTCAACGAAAGAAATTATTAATAATTATTTCTCTCTGTATTACGTTCAATACACCTATCCCGTTCATTCTTGTCCGGATAGCGCGTGCGCAAAATTACCACCTCTTAAATATTACCCCTTAAATATTGGGGGATTTTTACTTTATGTTACCTGCACTGTGTTTAAATGACAGACGTCAATCCAAAATTAATTATTATTGTTTTGTATTTTGATACTGTTTATACTAAAAAATGTGGCAAAAAAAGATATCTTGTCTTAAACAATTTGATTTTGATGAGGCCAAGCAATTTTTTGCTAGACATGGTGCTACGCAACAACACCATACCCGAGCATATAAGTTTTTCGTTGAAGGATTCCTCCACGATATTTGGATTAACGAAAGTGAACTTTCCATTAAAGCAAGGTGTTATCATTCCCAAAAACGAAATGAAAAACCCCATAGCCTTTATTTTGTTTTTAAATCTGGAAATGAAGAGCAACTGTGTCTACAAGAGTGTCACTGTTCATGTGAAGTTGGGTAAGTCTAATATTTGATATAATAATACTAGCATAGTTTAACAAAGATACTAGTTAATATTTAATTTTTATTTAATGTAATAATACTAGTTATATGATTTGTTGTTTTGAATCTTATACTTAATATTTTTTTTTATTTTAGGTTATCACAGTCTTGTCACCATTTAATAAGCTTAGCATATTATTTGCAAGATAAGCTATTAAGAGAAGAAGATGAAGTTTTAGATGTTGCCAGCACATCGAAACCAATGGAGTGGAACAAACCTAGGGGTACAAAAATTCTGCCTCAAAGTATTGTCAATGCAGTTTTTCATAAACCTACAAAGATAAATCGAAAGAAAAGGCCAATAATGTCAACTTTTTTAACCCCTGATTCTTTATTAAAAGAAAATGAGTTAAATAAAATAAAAATGGAAACAATGAAGAAAGGATTAAGAAAAATTAATAAAAAAATTCCATTTTCTTACCTTATAAATGATAGAAACCAAGGTAATTTTCATTTGCACCTTATTTAATATTTTAGAAAATCTATGTTAATAAATATATAATTATTATTCTTTATTTTTTAGATGAAAGTATGACAACAATGGCAATGCAGAATTTTAATACTTTGCAACAAAACCATCAGGTAGAAGTACTGCCCATATCGTTGCCTGTTTTGGACATGGAATGCATAAATATTTTAATTTCTATGCCAATGCCAAGGGAGGATACATTTTTTAATGTTGATTTTGAAGATGCCAAAAATATTGAAATTTTAACTAGGCAACAAAGTGACTCTAAGGAATGGAAAGAATACAGAAAAGGGAGGCTAACTGCCTCAAATTTTGGGTCTTTATGCAAAAGAAATAAGCCATTTGAGTTTAGTTATTTTAATAGCATTTGGGAAGCTCAAGACTTGGGACATGTTAAAGCAGTTCAGCATGGAAAAAATCATGAAACAAATGCAAGAATATTATATGAACAGCAAACTAAAAACGTTGTCTGTCTTTGTGGTTTGATTGTTCATCCTTATGCTCCATATTTGGGTGCCAGTCCAGATGGAATAATAAAAAGAGGAAATGAATATGGGATTTTGGAAATAAAATGTCCATTTAGTAAAAAAAATAAAAATTTAAAAGAAACTTTAAAATCAAAAACTTTTTTTTTGAAAGAAGATGAGAATAAGAGACTATTTTTAAAAGAAAACCATAATTATTATTATCAAGTTCAGGGACAAATGTTAATTACAGGAATAAAGTGGTGCGATCTGGCTGTTTATTTTAAAGAAGAAAACGAGATTGTAATTGTAAAAGTTGAATTTGATCAAAATTTTTGTTATAAAATGTTCGAAAAATTAACCAATATTTATAATATATATCTAAGCTTTTACTACGTTTTTTATTGATATAATTTAATTTTCAGGTAATTTTTTTATTTTTATAGACAATTTTACCTTAAATTTTGTAAAATTAAATCTTACCTAAATTAAACTTGTTTGAGGTAGGTATAAAATTAAGCAAAGTTAAGTAAAAAATAAAGGTAATGCTTAGACCAAAAAATGGGAAGGATATATGAGGTATAATCTCCATTTATAACTAAATTTTCTACCTGTAGGTATTTGATTTTGTTTATTTTTAACTATAAAATTATACTAAATTTTAAGTCAAAATATTTCTTTACAACATAGAAATTATAGTTATAGTTAAAGAGGTTCAAGTTTTGGAGGTTTGAGTGCATATTTATATTTTTATTAAAATACCTAACCATTGACTTCTGATTTTTTTTAAATAAATTATTAAAAATTAAAGCTGGGTTGTTTTAGTAAATTTATAAATTTCAACAAAAAACTTTATTTTTTTAACTCGTGCATAAAATTTGTAAGCAAAGCACAAACTGTAAAAATTTGGTTAACACTCCCCATAAGTGCAATGGGTATTTTGTGGGATAAAATTTTAAAAGTTTTTATCCTTCTTATAGCCCGTTCTACATGGATCCTCTCTCTTGCTATGTGTCGTATATATTCAATTTGGTTGGGTTCATACTGTATTCCTGATATTCGGAATGTTGGTATATTTAAGCATATTCCAGCATCTTCTAAAATATTTTTAATCTCAAACCCCTTATCTGCCAAAATAATATCACCTCTTTCCAATTCTCCAATTTCTACTTTTTTTTTTAAAAGATTAAGAAACCCACTTTCTTCAACAATTTTTTTATCTGATATAGATCCTAAAAAAACTCCAAATAATATATGAATTTTAAATTAATAATTTAGGTATGTTACCAGTAAAAAGTGCTGAAACAAAAATTATAGCACCACTGGGGCTTATCATTATGAGGGCTTTTAAAGTAGTGGATCCTTTATACTGGGAGTAGCATTGTGACTGCTTTATTAAGGATGATGGAGTTTCTATAAAAAACTCAGTGCAGTCTATACTGCCTATAACTTTGGGATATTTATTTTTAAAAACCATAGAGGCATGCTCCAAAATTATGTCTCTATGGGGAAATATATTTAACCCAGCCAGTTTAATATATAATAAATTTATCCATGCAAGGCAGATTCTCCCCACTGTGGATTTGGATACTTGAAACATATCACTTAATAATTCATAATCTATTCCTCGTCTCAATTTTATTAATGTAAGAAAAACTCATTCATTGAAGAAAGCTTATGTTTTTGATTCCATTTTCCTTTTTTTCTTCTCTGAACTTGTTTCGTAAATATAAATTTATATAATATAACTACTATTTTGTAGCTTGGAAGCCCTGTATAATACAAAATCTTTCTGTCATTATTTTTAAAATTTTCAATCAAAAATCTTGAATTTAGACCATTTTTGGGTAGCCGCAACTTTTTTCTTATAATAAATGCTGGTGTCTTAGCACTTTCTTCTAAATTTGGTACAATACTTTCATCTTCTACTATATTTTCATTCTGAGGTAAATTTAAAGTGGGAATTGTCGTTGGCTTTAATTTCACTTTAGTTGAGAAATCAAACAAATCATTTTCTTCAAAATGTAACCAGCATACCTAAAAATAGTAAATAAGTATATTATAATTGTTATCTGGTATTATATAGTATATTATTAAGCTATTAAGTTAAATAATTACCTTGGTGCTATCCGTAATTTTTTCTGGGCTTATTTTTAATGATTCTATCCATAATTTCCTTAGCTGAACATTTTTAGGGATTGAAAAAAACTTTCCACTTTTAATATTAACCAAGAAATTTCGGCAGGAATGTATACAGCAACGCATTTTTCAAAATTAGTCATAAAATAAATAAAAACTTAACCTCACTTTTTGGATTTTATACAAGGGTTTTTATTCATTCATTCATCATGTTGGTAAAACTGAATTGTGACTGAATTAAGGGGAAATATTGAAAAAAAGGGGATTGCCGCGCTTTTGCGCGCATGAGCTCTCTGAAAAATCTATTATATGGGATAGGTGTATTGTAGAATTGTTAGAATAACTGGTGGATTATGTGATATGTACTCCTTTTTACCAAAAAGATAATTTCACACTTGAAACAATTAGATTTTAAACAATTTTTGTTATTGGTATCCATGGATACGTCAAAATAACTAGCTTGTCGATTTTTCAGGTGTGTTGATACCTACCTAAATTATTACAAAATTGTGAAATATCTTTGTTATTATTAACTTTAGGTATAGGGAATGGTTATACCAATCAAAAGGTAATTGAATTCTGCAAAAATATACATAGCGTTCCATTAAAAATAAGAAAGTTATTAACCTTTAAAGTTTGCCAAATTCACCCTAATTTTTATCAAGTAATTGGTTAGAAATATGGCAAAGTTTTATACGGGATATTTAAAACAATGTTTCAAGACTCCAAAAATCCAAACCGCATACCAATACACCTAATAACAAAGAAGTTATAGGCTATTTTTGTTGAAGGCGCAACTGTCAAATTTTTACGAAAAAAATTAATAACTTGAAAACTATTGAGTTTAGGTATAGGGAATGTTATAGAAATTTTATCAGGAATTACATATTAAATTTAAAAATCAAAAAATATACAGGGTATTCTATTTGAAATAACAATGTTGATGTCACTTCCGGTGAAACCGGAAGTGGAATTTGGTTCAAAATAATTTTGGAAAATAGGTTTAGTTGGATCATATTTTCTATAAATATTTCATATCGATATCTTTAATAGCAAAAAAAATATGGACCGATCACAGAGCACTGGGTCACCCTGTATATAAAATATTAAATTACTTGTAAAGTTAAATTAAATTATATTACGTTGTTTCTCTGTTAGAACCCAGCTTCAGAACAATAAATAGAAATAGAAAAACAAAGTAGTCAACTTAATCCAAAGATAAACAATACTCCAAAACAAACAATGTGGTAATATTCAAAACCTTACAAAACTGTCCAAAAATGTCGTCACATGCGCATTTCAATCTTATTTATAATTTATTTCATAATAGTATATTAAAGAACTAATGTCATAAGACGTCATTTTGTCGAACGCGGACAATTTATAAAACGAGCGACGAAGGAGCGAGTTTTATAATGGACAAGTGCGACAAAAGGTCTTATGACATGAGTTCTTTATGCTATTTTATCTATTTTGCAAACATTTCATAAAACAAATTAATTTTATACCTTATATTTAATTTGGTTAAATTTTACTTTACATAGTTGGTATCATAGATAACAAAGTTTGAAGTTTGAAAGGTCATTAACCTTTCAAACATTATCACATTCTTTCGCTATGGCGTCGTTAATTTACAATAAGCGGCTGTTAAAGAAGAAAATAGGATTTTCTTTGGTGTTAAACAAAATTTATTACACGAAAAGTCTCGTAAGTACTAGAAAACAAATCATAAAAATATTATAACCTATAGGTATTCAAAATGGTATTTTACCAGTAGCCAACCTATAAAATCAAAATTTTGGGTGGAATAAAGTACCTCATTAAAGAACCAAAAGCGGTGTTATAATGAAGTCATTATGAAACCAAAATAGATAAAATTAAATTTTATGAACTTTCAAGGTTACTCGATGTACGGGTTAAATCGTTGTATAAATTGTTTCATAGCAGATAGTGCGATTTAACTTTTATGCTTATGCACTAAATTGTGAATTATGAAATAAATTAATGATATGAAGTTTTATAAACCCGCCATTAATATCTGTCAAAAACACTAAATACACAAGGAGTAACTTGCTAGATGAGAATACTCCAAAAACTGTATCAAAAGTGGAGTTTTACGTAATTGTTTATAATTTTGTACAATTCATTATTAAAAATAGAGATTTACGTAACTTTTTAACATTTTGTACAATTAAGTAAATTTTTGTAAATTACCACATTTAAAGTAAATTAAAAAAACATGTTAAATGGTATAAAAAAACAGTTACTGGTGATAATTTTTAATAAATAAGACCGTTACATAACAAAATAATAAATAAAACTCTAAAACCTAATTAGTTCTATTAGCCCTCTTAAGGGCTCTGGATCTAATATTCTCCATGGTTCTTATAACCAACCATCTGGATAGTTTTGGCGAAATGCTTTCCAAAGTATGCACAACACCAACCAAAAGCGTATGAGGATAATACCCGGTTGATTTTTGTTGGACTCCGACGGTTTTAAGGGCTTCACCGACGTATTTAAGTGGGCTCGGTGCCATCCAAGTTGACGACTTGATTTTCGACATATTGGTGGCCACGTATCCAGGCAGAATGCATTGCACCGTGATGCCGTATTTCGAGTACTCTGAAGCCAAATCGGCCGAAAATTTGTCGACGTAAGCTTTGGAGGCCGAGTAGACGGTGAGAAGTGGGCTCGGGATTTGGGCTGCAGTGGATGATAGATTTACGACGACGCCTCTACGTCTTTCCACCATACCGGGCATCACTATTTTGCACATATTCGTTACAGAGTAAATGTTGCATTTTATAATGTTGTCGTAGATTTCTTCGTTGTTTTTCAAGTCAAGGAAATATTCTGGGTACGGGTAGCTCATCCCGACGTTATTAATTAATATTCCTATATCTAGTCCAGTTAATTGTTTTTCGATTAGATGGTAAGTGTGTTCTAATTGTGTGAAGTTAACGGCTATCGTTTTGGTTTCCACATTATAATTTGATTCTGAAAAATAAAAAATTGTAGAAATATATATATATACTAGGCAACAAAAATAACCCGATATTTTGTGGTTAAGTTTAGACCAAATTTTCGTATTAAAAACGCGTAAATATATTTTTTTTAATTTTAATATTTTTATTTAAAAATATATTTTTTAAAGAAAATAGCAACAAAACACATGGTTAGGCCAAAGTTTGATAATAGTACCCTGCACGTCAAAATTAACGCATAATGAGTATAAAAATTCCAACTCTAAAACGCCTTTACCAATCTTTATGAAATTTTGTATAAGAATACTTCAACTTATATCTCAGTTTACGTGTTCGAGGGTTTTTCGAGAAAATATTTTTAAAGCCCTTTTATTTAATATTAAAAAAACGCTCGAAAAAAAAACTTTTATAGGGAATTTTTTTTAGTAAATAAAAAATATGATGTTAAAGACCGTATTTTTGTTATTATACCCTGAAAATTTTTTACAAATCAAACGAACAGTAACGAAGATACAGCGCTTCAAAGTCGTTAAAAATGACCACTTTTCAGCAAAATAATCATATACCATGAACTATACTACTTAAGTACCTAATTAGTAATTAGTATTGAATACTAAGTAAAAAACACAATCCAAAATATTTTTATATAGTTATTTGTCAAATTAACACAATATTCGATAACAAAAATACTTTTAATATAGGTATTTTATTTTATATTAAAAATAAATATTTATTAATTTGTATACCGATTTTTTATTTCTGAATTAACATTTTTATGTATAATAACTATCTTCAACTTCAATCTAATCCGACTTATCCCACAAAATTTTCCAATTTTACTTTTTATGAAATAATGTCATACAGCTTATGGATCAAATTGTTTATTTAATATTTTTAAATAAATATATATGACTATGTTGCAAAATTTTTTAAGGGGACGACAAATACATTTTACTGTCATATTATGACAGTGAGGCGTATTTGTCGTCTCCTGAAGAATTTTACGAATGTAGAATACAACATATTAGAATGTGGGTATCTGACATATTTGGAAATATTCTCAAAAGCTTCCTAGAAGCTCCATAAAAAACCTTGTAAGAACACTCCAAAAACGTATTCTTAAAATGTTCTTAGGATGCTTTTTAGGAAGGTTTTAAGAAACTTTTAAGAATCTAATTGCATCATTAAAACGGTATCTATCAGGGGTATTACCTATATAAGTCGCAACATTTTCCAATTTCGATTGAGTCCTGCTTACCAGGACTATGTTTAGTCCTTTTTTCGCCAAAAGTTCAGCGTATGCTTTTCCAATTCCATCTGTAGCTCCAGTTACGACTAAAAAGTTATTCCATATTAATATTTATTTATTAGATGCAGGGTGTTTTTTATGTTAATATTAAACAAAATTTACGCAGAAAAAAATATAGCCCCTTGGTTTAATTTAAGAGTAAAATGAAAGTATCTATAAAAATCAAAAATTTTTTGAAAAAATCTCAAAACTTAAAAACATAACTGTTTTTTACATTTTGGGGTTTCAATTCCCATATAATATAATAAAATTACTTCTACAAAAAAAACGTAAACCAAAAAAACTTAATAATATATTATACACTATAGTGTTATAAATAATTCAATCGCTGCATTAAATTATTGCTAACGCGTACTTAATGAAATACATATTCATAACAATACTATTGTTAACCTAATTTTGCATATTAACGAAATTTTTAAGGTAATTTTGTAAACCATTTTCAAATCGTATCAATAATTGTTTTGAATAATAATTCGCTATCATGCGTTTGAGGTGACCTTATCCTTATCAAAAACATTAAAATGTACATGTTAACTAATTAAAATGGCAAAAAGTAATTAGAAATTTTAATTTTAATTTAAAACAAAAATAAACTTTTTTTATGAAAAAATAAACTCACCTGCCCATTTTCCTGTTTCTTTCAAGTTAACGGAGCTAAGCCCCAAAAAGTTGGCCAAAAAATTGTTGTAAACTGCCCTAAATAAAAATCGGCACAGCTGAAATCCCACAATGGCAATGCACAACACCCCAATTTTGTCGAGTACACTTCCAGTCATTTTTTTGCGTACGAGTGCAGTGCGATTGTTACTAATAGAGCAGCGTCGAGCGTGGCGACAAAACCAAAAATGTAATCACTTTATCCCCATCAAACATACAACAATTTAAATACGTACCGTGGTGATAGCATTGTAGTGTTTCGATTTTATTACAATATGCGCATGCGATTTGGCACTTTGTGTGCCCCTAAACATTTTTTCAAATCCGTCTTTTCCCTACAATTAATCTATCACCTGGTTAATTAAATTCCCGAATTATTTAATGATTTAAATATAAGAAGAAAAATGTGTGCAACCGCGCCAAAGTATTGATTTTAAGTGAAGTAAGAGCGCGAAATGTGAACAAAACGTGAGATGCTACTTTCTCGCCGACACACATACTCTTGAACCAAAGAGAAATTTCTATTTGATGTCATGTAGCAAGTGCCGTAGAATCGGTTTTCTTTTCTTTTTCACGCAATATATTATCACTATATAAATACCATTTCGATCATGATATTAGATAGTCTATAAATAAAACAAACAAACTGAATATGCACAAATTTATTTAAAAGTGTTAAAAAGCGCTTAATCCAGTCACGGCTCTTCCGATAATTAAGGCATGGATATCATGGGTACCTAGAATAAAATTAAAATAATTAAAACACGCAAGAATATTAATATGCATTGTATAATACCTTCGTAGGTATTCACTGATTCCAAATTCATAACGTGTCTTATTATGTGGTACTCATCGTGTATGCCGTTTCCTCCCAGCATATCTCTCGCCTCCCTGGCAATCGCGAGCGCCTTACCAGCGTTATTACGTTTCAAAATCGAAATCATTTCTGGCCTATGCCTAAAATAGCATATACATTAGACTGGGCCAAAAAAATCGACTATTTTTTTTTGGAAAGTATATCGAAAATATTGTTTGGGGTGACAAAAAAAATTATGGTGAAAGTTTGAGTCCATAATATTAATATTAAGAGATTTTTTTTTTCCTGAGCGAGTTTTTGTCTCAGAACTCCCAAATCATTGAGTTTAACAAAATTGACTTAAGAATATTTTTGGAAGAAAATTGAATGCTCTACAAAAAAGGTTTAATTGGAATTTCCCGTCCGATGAACCCTTTTCTTACAATAATGCCTTAAAAATTGGTATAGTTTTACAATTTGTTTTTTTAACTTTGGAATTTTGTAATTCAAGTAAAAATCAGTACCCTGAAAAAAAACGATAAATATTCTTATGGGAAATCAAATGCTCTACAAAAAAAGTCTTTTATCATTTTTGGCTAAATTCACTCTATCAAAAGTTATTCAAGATTAAATTTGAAGTCAAAACGAAATTTTAACCTTGAATAAATTTTGATTGAGTGAATTTAGCCAAAAATGTTAAGAGGCTTTTTTGTAAAGCATTTGATTTCCCATAAGAATATTTATCGGTTTTTTATGGGTACTGATTTTTACATGAATTACAAAATTCCAATTTAAAAGATGTATAACTATACCAATTTTTAAGGCATGATTTTAAGGAAACGGTTCATCTGACGGAAAATTGCACATTAACCTTTTTTGTAGAGCATTTAATTTTATTAAAAAATATTTTCAAGCCAATTTTGTTAAACTCAATGGTTTGGGACTTCTAAGACAAAAACTTGCTGAGGAAAAAAAATAAAATTGCGATAATAGACCTCTTAATATTAATATTATGGACTCAAACTTTCACAATATTTTTTTTTGTCACCCCAAACCATATTTTCGATATACTTTAAAAAAAAAATAGTTGATTTTTTAGGCCCAGTCTAATACATATATATAGAAAAAATAACAGCAGTACAGTTCATTTTTTTTTTATCTGGACTCATGTTTTTTTGTTAGGTTGGTGGCTTATGCCAGTTTGACTTAGTATTTTTAGTATTTAAAAATGGTACTTCTGCTAAAGAATTTAATTAAATACTTGTACACAGTCAAATTGACAATAATATTTATTATTGATAATTTACTTGTCAATTATAATTGACAAGTAAATTATCAATAATAATATAATTATAGATAAAAACGAATTCGAATGTAAAAGCCCTTTAGAGGGCAAAATTTTTATAAAATTATGCCAAATGCCAATGGAAGAAAAAGTACATCGCCTTATGGACATTTTTGGAGTAAAAAAGTAACGAAATGGGTTTTATAAATATTACATCATACATTATTTTCACATTATTCACCATTGGACAACATTTACGTTCACAAAAATTTTAATTTCTTTTATATAAATTCTTTTCAAAGCGAAGATTATTATCCGCTAGGAATACTTTCTCTTCTGGGCCGTAAAGCAACCTATATTTAACTACTTTTTTATATGATTTTACTCATCCAAGCACCACCAAAGCCAAATTAATTGCATTTTTAACTACGAACTTTAACAACTCAACTTGACAACTGCACAATGTAACCTACGATAATTTATTCATAACCACAACTAGATTTATAACTAGCTTAGTTTGTTTTAATCAATGCTACCAACCAAAACTCTAAATTTGCAACGTTGCCGCAGTCCAGATAAAAAAAATTAACTTAATGTAAAAATACATTTTTTTATCCTTTAGTCTCCCGACGTGAAGACAGGCGTGCAAGCCAAGGGCAATCTCGGTGACCATGTCTGCGAACTTTTTCTGTATCAATTGGTTCGCAGCGAGGGGTTTTTGGAATTGTTTTCTGTCCATCGTGTAACTTCTGGCGATCTCCAGGCAACTTTCCGCCGCCCCCAAAGCCCCCCAAGCGATCCCGTAACGCGCGTTGTTCAAACAACTAAAAGGCCCCCTTAACCCCTCAACGTTCAACATGTGATCCTCGGGTACCTCCACATTGTCCATACTTATGGAACCCGTGGTGGAGGCTCTTAAAGAGAACTTCCCCTCGATTTTAGGCGCGGAAAAACCTTTGGTGCTCGTTTTCACAACGAACCCGCGAATTTTTTTATCCTCGCATTTGGCCCAAATGATAGCAACATCCGCAATCGGCGCGTTCGTAATCCACGTTTTACTACCATTAAGGGTGTACATTTTTGTTTTTGAGTCGTATTTAGCCCTTGTTTCCATTGAGGCCGGGTCACTTCCATGATTCGGCTCTGTGAGCCCGAAACATCCAATCAACTCCCCTTTAGCTAAAATTCACGATATAAGAAATGTTAAGGTTAAGGCTTCGCATTACCCAATAGCGGTAAATACTGTTGCTTAAGCTCTTCACTGCCAAAGTCGTATATGCAACCCATTACCAATGAACTCTGCACGCTTACAGCGGACCTATACGCACTATCTACCCTTTCTACTTCCCTGGTAAGCAGGCCATAAGAAACGCTAGACACTCCCGCGCAATTGTAACCTTTAATCGTACATCCTAGTGCGCCTAACTGGCCTATTTCCGACATAATCTCTTTATGGAATACTAGAAAAAATGCACAGGTTGTGGATCAATCCTCGCGAAAAATCGTAAATGACCTCATTTAAAAGAATTATGTTAAAATTACCCGGCCAAACTTTACGTATATGCAGAGCTAGGAGTATCTTGAAAAAAAGATACTTAAAAGTCACTTAGATACTTAAAGTATCTAAGATACTTTATCTTAGATACTTTTTATATTGAACAGAAAGTATCTTTAACTTAGTTACTTTGGAAAAGTATCTTCTAACTTGTATCTTAAAAAGTTACTCGGTAAAGTAACTATGATACTTTTTAAAGTAACTTAGATACTTTCTTAGAGAAAATTGGGGGAATTCCAGAATGATTCAAAGTAATAACCTAACCTACAACTTGTTGAATATTTATATTTTATAGTATTTATTCAAACTTAAAAGTAACTTACTTACTCAAAAGTATCTTAGTTACTTAAAAGTATCTTAGTTACTCAAAAGTATCTTGTAACTAAAGATACTTTTAACTCAAAGTATCTAGTTACCGGAGGTAACTAAGTTATTTTGTTTAAAGTATTTTAGAAAAGTAACTAGATACTTTTCAGAAGTAACTTTCCCAGCTCTGATCTAGGTCTTTATAAGGTGCCGAAGAAAAAATTTTTCAATGAATCACCCTAATGTGTATAGAAACTTTTTTGTCAGTGAAGTTTGACCGAGCATTACAATTACACCCTGCACAGTACCTTCATCCCTATTTGCTCTAATAACCCTGGGTAATAACTTTTCCTGGCAATAACTCCTAAAACTATTCCTAACACTGATTTCTTCCTCTGTGAGTTGGGATTCTAAATTTAGGGGATCTTCCCAGTTAAAAGCTAAAATCACATTACACTTAAGTTTTATATATCATTACTAGTAATAGTCTTACCAGGTCCTGATGATGTTTTTGATGATAACAGCCCTATGTACTATTAAGGAAATACCTTTTTAAACAAGTAATTTTAAAATAGAAAAAGGATACTTTGTAAAACATATTCGTTATTTTGGCAAAGCTTGAGGAGTAAGCTGGAATTAGTCTTGCTTAGAAACATCTTTCTGTAATACTAATACCAAAAATAAAAATTAAACAATATAAATATGTTTTTATAATGTTATCTTATATTCATGACCTTTAGTAAGTTTAGTAAGTTTGCGTTTTGATATTGTTGCATTAATCTAGATAAAATTGTTTATAAAATTGTCCGAAAATAACTAATAAATTTTTAATTGTATTTGACGTGTAAAAAAGTGTTAATGATGTTGACAAATTAATTTTTTTAGTAAGGTTGATTATCGATCTGGTACAAAACTTTTGAATTGCAAATTTTTGCCCATAAACTCATTTTCTTATCAGAACGTTGACCCGTTTTCACAAGAAAAAAATCTTATTGATTCATTAATTGCGTGCTGAATAGCCTTAATAAAAAAACGGTTTACAGCTTAACATTTTTTTTTATTAAAACAGGAGGAAGTATTAACATGGTGTGGAATAGTTCTATATTAACAAAACGTCTTCTTTGCGATCTGGACCATCAGGAAGTCGGTGCATTTTTATTTTGATTTGGGACCAAAAAAATCCCAAAGATTCCGTACAGGGCATTATTATCGCATGAGTACAAGCCAAAATAAAAGTCCTTGTGCTTGAGCAAGTTATTTTCCATATCCTCAGACAAGGATTTATACACCAAATATGCTAAAATAGTTAATTTTATTGTAAAAGTGAGAAATTTTTTATACAATGCTTTACCTCAAATGATATACAGGCAAATGTAAGGCCAAGACAAAGGGCCGCTATAGGTGCGCATAGAACTGATAGACAAGTATAGCAACAATTCCTGGAAAGTCTAAAACATTGATGGCTCACAGTCCAAGCGCATTCTGGACTTCTTATCGAATCCGGTTCTCCGAAAACTTCATCCCAAGATACCTAAGCATATATTAAAAAAGCCACATAGATGTATATAGTATAGTTGTAAGGTAAGATCTAAGTAAAATTGGATAAACTCCTACTTAAGTTATGCTAGAAGCATGCTTGTGTGAGTGTGGAGTTGCCTACTTGCCTGCAAATGTTGACTTAAAGTGTTCGGGTCTCTGTCTTCCAAGTCCATAATTTCGCTGGACATATCACTCTAACACCCCCGGAGTCCAAGCATGTAAACTGACCAAAAAGTTTTAGCCAGGTAACAGCAACAAGTTATAGTTAAGTACGCCGGCGTAAAATTACATAGTTGAGGGAAAAATATCGATCATACATCAAATTTTGTTTTCAGAGAAAATTAATGTCAAACAATAATTATTCAAATAGGGGAGTTACTCTGTACTCAACACACACGCCATGCATACATTTTTTATTTTGGTTTATTACCTACATACTATTGTTTTAACAATTAGGTTAAAAACCAAAAAACGCTATTGGATAACAAATAAATGTAACCCTAATATCAAGACAGTTATATTTGTTTTATTGACAGGAAGAAATACAAATTTTTTAAATTACTCGTACTTACAAAAAAATTTTAAACAATTGTCCTAAATGAGGTCGATATATCAATACACAGCACAGTAAACCACTTACGCTTTAAACTACAGTCGCCCAATGAATCAAGTTCTAAACTTTCACTACTCTCAACGCGATGGCGCTACAACCCTCATAGAATATTGTTAAGAAATATTTTAAATAACCAATTGCGATTTTTATTTAACTTAATTAAATGCGCGCATTTTGTTTACAACTTATTAAACTATAATATGATGTAACCTATTTAAAAATGTGGCAAACATATTTGGCAATGGCAGTTTTTTCTTTGAGCAAAAACTATTTTAAATAGTAAATAAACAACACCATAAAATTGGTTGTATTTTGTTTACTAGATGATAAGATGTTATGTAAATTTCTTGAATTTGTTTTGATTATGTTTGTTAGACATTACTATGACTTTTTCTAGAAACAAGTATGTAATATAAACTTAAAATATATGTTTATTTTATAAATATTAAGAGATTTATTGATTTTAAAAAAAATTTGAGATCATTGCGAAAAATGGCGGATGCGCCGGGATAAATAAAAAGTAATACAAAATTTGGATAATGATAATGAGATTTTGACGTGAAAAATAAAACTTTGGTTACATTACCATTGTACATAAACATTCTTTTACATTTGATGATTTCTGTTACGGAAATGACAATTTTTTTATCAAACATCTAAAAAGTTTGTATTCCTAACGAAAATCGCTAAAATCTCAAAATTAATTATTTTCGCATGTTGTCACCAAATTTTTCTCAATGGTCCAGTGTAAACGACAATCTTATCTTTCACACCAGACAGTTATCAAAAATGGCGAATGCGCCGGGATAATTAAAAACATTTAAATAGGGAAAAATCTACAAAACTGGAGATATATACACATTAATCTACATTTTCAACCAATTGGTGTTTTTTTTAGACTACTACCATATTTTGTTTTTCCTATAGCAGCCTTATAGGAATTTTACATGGTTACATAGAAAGAAAACAAGGAATTCAACGATTTATTAAAGAAGATATAATAAAAACAAAATATGGTGATGAGAACTAAAAATATATGTATGTAGTTACGAAAAATTAAATAAATATGTAGATTAATATGCACGAGGTGTTCAGAAAATATCGGGAAGTTTCGTTTTTTGAAACAAATATTTATTTATTCGTCTACATTAATGTTGTCGCCTTCAAAATAGTCCCCATTGGATATTATGCACATGTGCCAGCTCTTCTTCCAATACTCGAAACACTTCTAAAACTCTATCTTTGAGATAGCCTTTAGTTCTTTCAGCGATGCGCTTTTAATGTCATCTATGCTTGCAAAACGTCGGCCCTTTAAGGTTCTCTTTATTTTTGGGAATAGGAAAAAGTCAGACAGAGGCATGTCTGGCGAATATGGAGGCTGGGGCATCATTACAGTATTGTTTTTGGCCAAAAATGTTGTTCAAAATTTAACAATTTTAAAACAAATTTTGCTGCCACGCGTTTCATACCCAAAACATTCGAAAAAATTTCATGGGGTGAGCCAATTGATAACAACATCATCAGCGACTTCTCTGATGGTTTATAACCATTTCTTCAACTTTTTCCATGTTTTTATCGGTTGTTAATGTGCTTGTGCGTTCTTCATCTTCAACGTCTTCACGGCCATCTTGGAAACTCTTATACCACTTGTAAACCCTTTTTTTACTTATAGCAGACTCACTATAGGCCTTTGTTAACATTTCACAGAATTTATTTCATTTTTTAAGCAAAATTGGATACAAATTCTTTGATCCATTTCTTTTAACGAACGAAAAATCGCCGAGCTCATAAAACACGTCTAACCTTAGCGGCTGCCACAGACAAAGTAAAAAATGAAAACAGCTAAAGTTTTTATCATACTTCGGGGGCATGTATACGAACATAATAAAGAAAATTATTATGACAACCGGAAATTTAACAATTCCCGTTATTTTCTGAACACACCTCGTAGATACTTTTGTTCTCTAAATTTTTAGGAATAACGATTGAAAGGATTTTAGTTTTTTTTACAAAAATTTTGAGAACTGCTGGCATTTTTTTCAATTAATAAATTTCATTTTAATAGGCTTGTACTTTTTGCCTGTATTAATCGACCTTGTTTAAACAAAAAAAACAGCACTTGGTGCACTGAAATTAAATTTAGTAGTAAAATAAAAATAAAAATGGTAGGACAAATTTACAAAATCATTGAATTTCTCAATGTTTTTAAAAATTAGTGATGTTTTTAGATTTGTCTAAAAATATCTATTTTGAACAATTATTATGTAATTTTGATAAATTGTTTATCAAGACAAATGACGTTAACGGATTTAAAAAATTATCTGATAAAAATCCAATAAAGGCGTGAGTAACATACAGGCCCACAAAATAAATTAGAAAAATGTTTTTTATAGGTGTGTATTTTATTAAACGGTTGGGAGAGATCGTCAAACTTTTGGCATTGACCAGGGTCACGTTAATTTGTTTGTTACCTAAAAACAGCATTGGGTTCGGTAACACTTTGCTTCAATCTTTGTTTAAACAAAGTTTATTGTTGCCCGAAATTATGAAAATCACCTTTGCAGACTGCAAAAAATCAAAATTAATAATAATGCAGTTTTATTGTTCGCGCTAGGCTGAATCATTTTTATTTCCCACATTTATGTATACCTACGTATTTTATTTTGCCGCAACCATTATAAATATTACAAAATTTCAAATTTTAATTGTTGTCATTAATAATTCGTGCGTAAGCAATGCAATCCAACCGCAAAAATAATTATTAATGAGGCTCAATTGAAAAAAACAGTCACGTGGTAAGGCAACCAGCAAAAAATGTGTATATTATATAACATTCCACATACATTAAACGGTCGCGTGTATTGTTTGAGATTAGCGTATGTACACAAAAGGCATGGTTGCCTAGATCAGTATGTTACTCTTACTTTTAGCCACGTGAGCTCCCGTTTACACGTGATTCCCCTCATACGTTCATTCGTTAATAATTTATTTATTTGCTAGAAAGTACTGTAATATTGTAATTCTTTCTATTAGTTCTGCCATCCCGTTATATAATTCCATTCTTTACATTGCTGCCTGTTTTTTGATTTTTTTTTCATAGCAGTAACACATTTGCCATTGATTTTTTATAATCTCACAAGGAATGTTAAGTTCTAGAATTTGTATATTTTATTTATTAAAAGTTTGGATACCTTTTGTAATTATTTCTCTCTAAAAATGAATTAATAAAAAATGACTAATTCAATAGTTATTAGTGGCTGCTTTTTCACTTGTACCATGGTTAACCATGGAATACCATGGTATACCAAAATTTAACAGCCAATTCTTATGTAAAATTGTCCCCTGAATTCGAAAATACCGGATGGAATGGAAAATTCACTATATCTCAAAAACTGTTCTACCTTTTTAACTTTTAACGACATTTTCGGATTCAGGGGACAATTTTACAAAAGAATTGGCTGTTAAATTTTATTATACCATTGTATTCCATGGTTAACCATGGGT